CCAGGTTGGACACAGGGGCTTGGAGCAACCTGCTCTAGTGGAAGGTGTCCCTGCCCGGGGCAGGGGGTTGGAGCTGGAGGAGCTTTGAGGCCCCGTTTAACACAAAGTGGTCTGGGATTCTAAGGGGAATGGTCCAACATGGGAGCACTGGGATGGGTGATGGAGTCTGGACCATTCCAAGGACAGATTCTGCACTTGCTGCCGCGGGGAACCAGCGTAATTAAACCCCCCTTTGCCATCTAACAAATGCCTTCTTGTTTTAGTTGCTCATTAGTTAATTTTCTCCTAATGAGTCTCTGTTAATGGGACCATTTGCAATTGGGGAAAAAAACCAACGTGGAGAGGGAGTTCCCAGGTTAAAAGGAGCCTGATTAGCAAGTAAATGACAGGGAGCAGGGCAATGTTCTGGCTCTCTAAACCAGCTATTGTCATGTGCACACCCCAGGCCATGGGGAAACAGCCCCTCACTGTTTGGAGGTCAGGAAAACGCTGTAATTCACCCTAAGCCAAGTAGTGCTTGTTTGGTGTTAACGCCTCAGTGCATCTTAGGGTCCTCTCCTGCCAAACTACAGGTTGTTTGCAAATCCCAGCAGTTCCCCGTCCCTCCTCCCTCCTTCCCCCGCTCCCTCCCTCTCTGCCTCCCCCTGAAACCAGAGCGGGCAGGATCGGGACCGGGAGCGGTGGGGCTGGGAGCTATAAATGGGGGCACAGCCCCTGTCCCGGCGGGACACGGTGCTGGGGTGCTGCTGCCGTCATGTTGGGCAAGAAGAAGTACAACGTGAACGGGGAGTCGGGGATGAAAGCCCAGGTGAGGGCACTCTTTAGTACCCAAATAGTACTCTTCTACCTAAAAGTACATTTGTTGCTCTCTATATCCCCCTTTCCCCCCTTTTCCTTCGTGTTTCCCCCATTCTGGAGCTGCCTCCCCCTGCTTAGCGGAAAGCCCAATCCCCAAAGCACTTCTCTTCATTTTCCTTGCGAGCAGGAGGTTTGCAGTGATGAAGTGTTGAGGCAAACACGTTGCTCCAGGGTTGTTCTTCAGAGCACAGTGATGGAGGAGTGGATGAGCAGGGAGATCACCCAGGAACACCAGGGTCACCGGATGATGAGGCTTGGGTGCAGTGTAGAGCAGCTCTTCATGGTAGGAACCCCAGGTGGAAGTGAGACTGAGCTCATGTGAAATGTAATGAGCACCTGCAATTAGAAGCCATTAACCCATTGTGCCATTAACCCGTTGTGGGGGAGGTTTGCAGCTTGAATTGGGTTTATTCCTGCGGGAAGTTGAAAGCAGCAGCACTCAATGTAGCTGCAGAGCAGGTTGGATTCCTAAATCAAAGCTGCTGCAGCCCTCAGAGGCTTCAGAGCCTTTCTCTTGAGCTTTAGATGGGCAAAGTTGGCTTTTACCTTCAGAAATGCTTTAGTGTGAGCTGAATGAGTTCAGCCTGGAGCCAAATCACTGTTCTGGGCCCTATCTCGAATGTCCCCATCTGCCCAGCTGGGCTGGAACGTGGCGTGTTGTCCTCTTGGTCACCTGGTGCCATTTGGTAGGGATTTAAACCGCAGTTTAGGTCTGGGTGAGCAAGGTCTGGCTTCTCCTTCTGGCTGTGTGCATTGCTGAGACATCAACTCAAACCCAAAGATGTGTTGTGAGAACTGGCATAAGGGTTTATTCCTACTGGCACTTTGTACCCTTCACACGTCCAGGGAATACGTAATGTAGCGCTGGCTGAAGGGGATATGATGGAAGTCCTAAATAAATCAAACTCCAGTGTCCTTTCTTGCCTGCTCTCCCTGTTGCTTGAAGGACAAAGCCAGAAGGTGTTGGTGAAGCATTAACACAGCCTTGACCTGGCCCCTTCCCAATGTTCTTCTCCTCTTGTGGTGCTTCCTTGCACCTCCTGGCAGCCAGTGCCTTGTTCAGCTAAAGCTGAACCCAGCTGGCGGCAGCGTTTAAAGGGTTGAAACCCTTGAAGGGGTGAGGGCAGGGTTTTTATAGAGTCTGGCTCAAGAGGAGAAGGATTTTGGGTGTTGGGTGAGGAGAAGCTCCCCATGACCCGGCTTCAGTGAGCGCTTGAGCCCAGAACCCCCCCATGTGCTGGGTGCACCCCCAGAGCGTGCTCAGGGAGGGGATCCTGCCCCTCTGCTGTGCTCTGGGGAGCCCTTAGAGCAGCTCCAGTGCCTTAAAGGGGCTCCAGGAGACCTGGAGAGGGGCTTTGGACAAGGGATGTAGGGACAGGACAAGGGGAATGGCTTGAACCTGCTCTAGTGGAAGGTGTCCCTGCCCGGGGTAGGGCTTGGAGCTGGAGGAGCTTTAAGGTCCCTTTTAACACAAACCAGGCTGGGGTTCTGGGACTGATTTTTGGCACATCCTTGTCTATCAGCCTTGGCTGTGGAAATACTTTGAGAGCTCTGAACACAATTACCAGTCTTAATGTATCGCTCGAAATAGTTGCATTGAATGTCCTTGAAGGGATGACGTTGGAAAGGAAAATGTTAATTATAATAGGAATTATTCCCCCTTTGTTACCCTTCCAGCCTGTCTCCCTTTGCCAGGAGGATCAGTTCACACACATACCCTGATGCTTTGATGAAGCTGCTGAGCTGTCGAGGGATTTGCTTCACATGAAGAAAAACCCAAGACAACCCCCCCAAAAGAAGGTTATTTCAGGCCAACAGCTTCTGAGACAAGGGATGTAAAAGCTGGTGTGTGTGTGCGCAGAGCCTGTCGCAGTGGGCTCAGGGGTGTTAATCCTCACCAGGACTCTTGGCTGGACTCTGAGTTTGACGTGGGGTTTTGCCCTCCCCTGTGTGTTCCCTGGGCCAGTGCCGTGCT